TGTCAGTGCCCAAGGGAGGAAGGCGCACTCCACTGGGCTACAGATCCTCCTGTACTCATGAGCGAATGCATCTGGCCTCTTCATCTGGTTGATTTCTTACCTGGCTCCTGAAGACATCCAAATGTCTAAACTCTGGGGCACACCAGGTAGAAGGTTAAGTGTTTGACACTGATCAGGGCTCAGCCCACTTATTCTGGAAAGGACCAGGCAGTAACTACTTTAGGCGTCATGGGACATAGAGTCTCTGTCACAACCACTCGTCTCTGCTGTTAGAGGGGGGAAGCAACCTCGGACAGTGGAAAAGCGAAGGAGCCTGGCTGTGTTCCAAGGAAACTTTATTTATGGACATGGGAATTTGAATGTCATGTGATTTTTTGTTTTCATCTTCTGTTATCCTGAGTTGTTATTTCTCTCTCTCTCCTTTTTTCCCCCAGCCATTAGAGAAAACCAGACGTAAGGATGGGAGAAGCCATCCTCAGTGTATGGACCCTAACGAAACAGGCAGCAGGCTAGATTGGGCCTGTAAGCAACAGTTAGCTCCCCCTTCATTTAGATCAGTGCTCTAAAAACTCCTAAATGCATTCCCAGAGAGTCCCAGGAGAATCAAACTGATCCAGGGGGCTTTTGCATGAGCTTCTGTTCGAAGCAGGTCATTTTCAAGTGCTTGGAACAGTGTAAGTTGAAGTAGAATAGTTATCCATGCCTACCAAAGGCTGCCGGGACTCTGTTTTAACCCAGACTCTGTGTGTGATAAGGATGCCAGGTCAGTGACAGTGTCTGGATTCGAAGCACTGGGAACAATCCCAGTGACATCCCCGAAGGCAGTCAAGAGGGTGTAACCATCAACTGCATTGCAAGCAGGCCCTGGTTCCACCGGGAATGGACGTCAATCACAAGCACGCATGCCCCGTCATTTTCCCGTCCACGTGGCTGCCTCGGGCTTCCACGGTCACTTCTCTGAAACCACCTTCTTGAAACAGAAGGAGCGCCTGATTTCCTTTCTAATCTCAGCAACAGCAAAGTGGTCTCCTGGCCCCCTTTTTCCCACGGTGGACATAGAGCCACTCAAATAAATTAGACGTCTTCTCTCATGACTCCCTTGAAAGACACAGTGCGTGTGCGGGCGAACACGCTCGGCCACATGACCACTCCCCCAGGAAAACCACCTCGGATGGGGTTTTGTCCTAACAAGCACGGAGAAAACAGCAGGCTCTCGCGTTCCTCACATGCACAGCGCCACAGTCAAGGAGAGCAGGCTCTGAAAGGGGGTGGGGGCGGGGTGGGCACTCAGTGCAGTTTTGTGTCGGTCAGTTGGGGTCAAGCCAAGAACAGAATGGTGGCCAGCCCTGCGCCATCTTTAGGAGAACTGGTATACTCGTGCTTTTCAATTTAGGGGGCTCATCTTGCCAGACGATTCAGGACAATTTTCTTTTGTGATCCATAAGGGTTTGCATTGGTGAGCTTCAGAACTAGATCACCGGGCCTTTCTTCCTAGTCCTTCTTAGTCTGGGAGCTCTGCTGAAATTGGTCTCTCCTGAGTGCCCCTGCTGGAATTGAAACACTGGTGGCATCGCTTCCAGCTTCATAGCAACGTGCCAGCCACCACAAGATGACAAACAGACACCGGTGCAGGAGTTCATAAAAAATACATTAAAAATAATTACCATGACCACAACATGTTTAAAACACTTCTTTCTTAGACACTTCCCTGGGATTAGAGAAGCCTTACCAGCAGGCTGATTCTAGAATGGGCCGGAAATTTCCCCCAGTCATCTTGTAATTTCTAAGCAGGCTTTGGTTCATACGTGTGACCTGGAAATGAACAAACCCCATAGTCATTTGTAATGGGTGAGCATTTACTCAATGCTTGGCGGTACGATTAGACGGAAGTCATACGTGGCCCTGTCCTTGCCTGAGAAAGCTCAGCCTGGTCGGCCCCGGCACCCGGCATTTCCACTTTTGCTCAGAAAAGGGCTGTATGATCCAATCGAATTTGCAAAAACTAGTTCTTGACTCCATGGCATTGTTGAGGGGTTTTTTGGTGGTGGCGGGGTGGTGGTGGTGGTGGTGGTGGTGGTGGTGGTGGTGGTTGACCAGGGTGTGTCCTTGACCTGGTTTCCTCTTGGAGTCAAGTTCAATCTCCTAGCTGTCTCTTACCGAAGGCTGTCCTCAGCTCCCACCGTGGGCCAGAGGGTCGTGTGGCTGGGGGTC